GCAGAGAAAGAGGAAGACCCTCAATGGGCTGGATTGACATGGTGACTGTCGCTGTGGACTCCAGTGTGTCAGACGAGGATGGTACAATGTAGGGCAGGGTTCACATCAGCTGTTCATAGGGTCGCTGTGAGCCCTGGGTGACAAGTACAGTGTGTTAGTATTTTAGTTTGATTACCTCTGCATGGAAATGAGCTGGTTTCCCAAGGCTGGGGTTTACTTATTTATTTTTTTTAATGTGCAACATAGTTTAATCCATCGCAAGGTCAGAATTGAAGGTGAAAGCCATTTTAGCATTGAGATGGGGAGTTTACAGAATTATTTCTAATAAAGTCATGTAGCACAGAATTGCCTTTCAGATGATAGAATTGTATCTGACAAGCATATAATGCGGTACCTTCATATTATGGCAGATAGTCAATGAAAGGTATTAACCTGCTGGAAAGGCTAAGCTTATTAAACTTTAAGTGATGGTACTTGGCCAAACCAGCACATGAAGAAGCAGAATGGGACAAGGAGCAAGATCTCCTTTCTTAGAAAGTGATGAATATTTCCTGAGCATCTACCATGGGCTAGGGATTCACTCTGCACATTTCCTATGTCATCTCTGTTAAAACTTTCTAACAACTTTCTATGAGAAGGTACTATTGTGTTTTGCCGTTGGGGAGTAATTTTTTTTTTTTAAGATCACACAGAAAAACCAGATTTTCAATATGGGTCTTCAAAATGCAGTGCTCCTTCAATTACTGTTTTTACTGTTGTTATTCATGGAAGCAAAGTTTTATTCTCTGTATATGCAAGCTGATGATAGGCGAATTCAGTGGAATAGAAAAATACATGGAATCCATGTAATCAGAAGGCATGATTTAATGTTTATCTCGAACTTCCTGTTCTTTGTGAATTTTTTTTAGCTTAAAATGATTTAGAATTAGTTTTACAAATAACTCTTTAATTGAGAAAATAAAGTGTCAGGGGTGAGACAGGATTAAAGCCTGCATAATCAATGGCAAACCAGGAAGTTTAATCAAGAACTTCTGGTATATGTGTCCAGTTCTTTACCATTTAAAAAATCCTTTCTTGGTAGCTAGTCTGTAAATGTAATTTCATATCAAATTTTGATACAAACTGTGTGTTCTTGGCATTCTTCTGCTTTTACAACCTTGGCTCAAAACAGAGAACCATAAAAGAATTCTTGTTCATGTTTTATTGACTATGTAAAGGCATTTGTGTGGATCATAACAAATTATGGCTAATATTGAGAAAAATAGGAATTACAGAATGCTTAATTGTGCTCATAAAAAATAGAGAGAGAGATCAAGAAACTGTTGTCTGGGGAGCTCTGGTGGCCTAGTGGCAAGGACCTGCAACTACAATCCCAGAGTTGCACGGTTCGAATCCACCAGATGCTCTGCCGAGGAAGGAGGGACAATCTCCTTCTGTACCAGTCAGATCTGATTTGATGGTACACTCACACAAAAATAATAAAAAAAAAAAAAAAGAAACTGTTGTCTGACCTGAGCAAGGGAACACTGAGCGGTTTAAAATCAGAAAGGGTGTGCACTGGGGATGCATTTTTTCTCCATATCTATTCATTCTGTTTACTGAGCAAATAATTGTGAAGTGAGGCACCATGAACAGGAATGTGGCATCAGGATCAGTGGAATCATCAACAACCTGCATTACGTAGACGACACAACCTTGCTTGCTCAAAGTGAGGAGGATGTTAAACGCTTGCTGCAGAGGACCAAGGACTATGACGTGTATAAGGTCTTCTGTGTGTATTACGTCTCAACAATAAGAAAACAGAAATCCTTACTACGGAGTAAGCAGGCAACTTCATAATAGATGGAGAAGGATTGAAGCTGTCCATGATTTCATCCTTCTTGGATGAACTGTCAACACCTTTGGTGTCAGGAGCTCAGGAGACATAATGCTTTGGATAAATTTGATGTCAGTGACCTCTCTAAAAAACTTAAGAGCAATGATGTCAGTTTGAAGACTGCAATGTGCTCGATTCAGACCATGACCTTCTCAATCACTACTACTCATCGTAGACCTGTACAGTGAATAAGGATGACAGAAGAATTGATGGCTTTCAGTTGTGGTGCTGAGAAGAATACTGAATTTCTCATAGAGTTTCAGAAGAACGATCAAGTATGTCTTGGAGAAAGTGCAGTCAGAGTGCTTGTTGGAGGCAAAGGTGATGACGCATCATCTCTCATACTTTGGATAAGATGCTAAGTGAGGCTGATCCTTGGAAAGGGACATCAAGCTTGGAAAGATGGAGGGTCACTGAAGGAGAGGAAGACCTCCAAGGCGATGGATTGTGGGCTCAAGTATGTCCGAGATGATGCACACGGTACAGGATAGGGCAGGCTTCAAGTCTGTTGCTCATAGGGTCGCTTATGAGTCCTACTTGACTCAGTGGCACCTAACAACAACAATAGTCTTAGAAGCAGCTCATCAACAGTCTTAGAACAGGTCTGTTTGTAAGATTACACCAAAATTGGCAAGATTGCATTCTCTCTGTATATATTAATTGGAAAATATGAATAAATAGTTCTGGATTTCGGAGATTAGTAAAACAGTGATTCCACAGTTTTGATTCAAAGTAACATCAGGCTTTTCTAGTACTTTGCTCAATCATTTTTACTTTTGGCCTTTACCATGAAAATAGTTTATCTTTTTAAACCCTATTGAATAATGTTATGTCACTTGTTGGGTTCCCCCCCCCCCCATTTAACAGAAACCTTTTCTAAATATATTTTTATTTCCTTCATACACTAAGTGGTAATGTTGGAAAATGAAGAATAGATTATTAACTGTTAAGTAGACATGTTTAGCTCTGATGGTTTAAAAGTGACATCCTTGGATTTATATTGCCCCTCTAACAACAAACAACTACGTGCTGTTAAGTTGGAACTCCCTTATAGCTGACCCTCCAGTAGGTTTCCAGAGGCTTTAAATTGCATGAGAAGAAACTGTTCATCTTTCTCCCACGCAGTAGCTGATGGATTCTAACTGGGCTCTGTTAGGAGAAGTGGCGTCAGGATCGGTGGAAGATCTACCAACAATCTGTGTTATGCAGATGTCACAACCCTGCTTGCTGAAACTGAGGAGGACCTGAAGCACTTGCTGCAGAGGGTCAAGGGCTGTAGCCTTCAATATGGATTGAGGCTCAATATAAAGAAGACCAAGATTCTCTCCACTGGACCAATTGCCAGTATCAGGATGGATGGTGAAGAGATTGAGATTGTTCACAGCTTTCGTTGCTTGACTCCACAGTCAACACTCTTGGCACCAGTAGCCAGGAAATTAAAAAACGTATTGTGATGTGAAAGTCTGCTGTTAGGGACTTCTCCAAAGTACTGAAGAGCAATGGTGTCTCTCTGGAGACTAAGGTGCATCTGATACAGGCTATGGTCTTTGCAATCACTTGTTATGAATCAGAGAGTTGGACAGTGACTAGGGAGGACAGAAGGAGAATTGATGCCTTTTGAATTGTGGTGCTAGAGAGGAGTGAGGGTACCATGGACTGCCAAGAAAACAAACAGATTCATCCTGAAGAGGGTTAAACCAGGCTGCTCCTTAGAGGCAAGGATTCTGAGGCTTCGTCTTACATACTTTGGATATGTTGTAAGGAGGGACCGGTCCTTGGAGAAGGACATCATGCTTGGGAGGGTGGAGGGACAGTGCAGGAGGGGAAGGCCCTCTATGAGGTGGATTGATTCAGTGACTGGGGTAATCGGGGTGGGTGTGTTGGAGACAGTGTGGTTGACACAGCACAAAGCAGAGTTTAGGGCTATTGTACATGGGGTCGCTATGAGTCACAAGCGACTCAATGGCGCATAACAACAACAACAAAATAAAAGAACTTTGTGGTGCCACTTTCATGTGTCCTTTATTCATTCAATTTCTAGAAACTAAAATATGAAATTCTATGATCTGCCTAATTAAATAGTTAATATCCTAGCTAATTGGCTTGTTTTTTAAATCCATTATTTAGATGTAGGTTTACCTGGTTGGCAATTTCATTTTAAGTCTTGACCATGCTTTGTTAAAAGACTCTGATTGTCTTATACTGTTATGTCATGATAGACCTTGCCATCTGATTACGTTCCCCACCTCCCACCCACATACTTCTCTATATTAAGAATTTTCAGACATGCTCACGTACAGAAGATTCCTCATTGTCTCAGTTTCCTAGTGCTGTTGTAGTTAAAAAGATCACAAATGGATGGCTTTAAAGCAGAGAAGTTTCAAATCAGGGCATTGTCTTCAGGGGAGGAAAGTCAGTTCATGACTTGTTAGTGGGGTGGGTGTTTGGGGGGGTGTGAGACAGAGAAAGAGACTGTCAAGTATTTAGAAGAATTCCGGACACTTAGAATAGTCTTTGCAATTATCACTTAGAAGCAGAGATACCATCTCTGTGTGCAGACTTTCTGAGAACACTTTTTTTGTTTTTGTTTGGTTGGGTTTTTTGTTGTTTTTGTTGTTGTTTTTGTTTTATACTTCTTGATCTGTCTTTTCTGTACAAGTAGTTGTCAGCTTGGGGTCAAAGGACCAGGATTTATATGTGGACTCTGTCACTTACTAGTTCTCTGTTCTAAGGGAGATGAAGTTTGCCTCTAAGTTGTCCTATAGACCTTAAAATGGTATTTTGAGGATCAAAATGAAATCAAATATAGAAAAGTGCTTTATAAACTGTGACATGCTTAGTAGATAGAAACTCCTGACACCATTAATATTTCACTAGTAATATTTAAGAAATGTGAATTCCTGGAGTAAAAACTTACTATCTTTTTGAGGACCTGACTCTGGAAGTCCTTAGTATAAGTGTAGTGATTCTTATTTGGGAATAATGCTTACACAGCTCAAATCTAATACCTGGAATATACTTATTCCTAAATTATACAAGTTGGGTCTCTAATGTTATGTACCGTGTTTCCAGCAGAAATACTGTCCTAACCAGCATTATGTTTATAACGTTTCAGATTTGGAAGCACAATGGCAGCAAATAGCCTCGTTCTGCCCATCGTTCTCTGGGGTCGAAAAGCGCCAACCCACTGTATTTCGACCATCCTCCTAACAGATGACGGGGCCACCATCGTAACAGGATGCCACGATGGACAGATATGTCTCTGGGACCTGTCAGCAGAGTTGGAAGTGAGTCTGCCTCGGGCTTACTTATCAGAAACTATGAGAAAGTAGCACCACCCAGGAATATATAGCTGGGCTCACGGCATTACCTGGGTAATATGTTTTGATTAAAATTGTCGTTATCTAGATGGGTTCCATTCTTCATTAGCATTGACTTGTGCTACTGTTTGCTATTCCCGTGTGTAATAGCCACGCTGTTTTAGGAGCCGTGGAGGTGGCTGTGACGCACAGCAGCTGTGTACAGAGCAGAGCAAGCCCCTGCCTGACCCTGTGCCATCCTCACCATCTCTGCTCCGTGCAGAGCCCGCTGATGCCTCTCCGTGTCATTCCATCTCGTTGAGACTTTTCCATTATGTTCCTGAGTGATGTAATATTTAAGAGTTTTTCAAAAGATTATGACCTCATTTAATAGCATAAAGAAAATCATCTAAAAACTAAACTAAGGCCTAAAATAGCCATTCCTTCAAAAAAAGGTGTATGATCAGTAAACATGTGAGAAGGTTGTTAGCGTGTGATGTTGTTTTTAGCCGCTCTAGAGTCTGTCTCCGTCCCCTGGGGATTCAGTGTACATCAGAACTAAACGCTGCCCATCCACGGCATCGCAGGATTGCTGGCTGCCCGTTGGGCGTCCACGGCTGGAAATCACATAGGAAGAGATTTCTCCTTCTCCTGGGCAGCTCCTCGTGGATCTGAACCGTCAGAGAGGTGCCACCTTTGGGTTATCAGTGCGGCTCTCTGTAGACTAAGCCGCCAGGGATCCCCTCTGTGCAATAGAATGTGATTCAATCATCATGAAAAATGAAGTTGTAAAGATCGACCATGAGCACGTGATGCTGTGATCATCAAAAAGGACAAGTAACGGTATGATCCTACTTGTGTGAAAGCAAGCTCTGGTGATCTCGTGAGCCAGGAGCTGTGCTGCCGACTCAGAGGCACACGGTTCAAATCCATGAGCAGCTCCGCAGGAGCAGTCTCCTCCCATGGCGTTCACTGCCTCTGATATCCTGCAGGCAGGTCAGCTGTGAGTTGGTTCTCACTTGACACGTAACAACAATAACTTAAATGAAAGACACTATAGGTAGTGGCTTAGTCTGTAAAGAGCTGTCAACACAGAGGCATTCGAATCCACCAGCTGCTCCACAGGAAAGCAATGGGCGGTTTGCTCTGTGCGATTTACAGTCTCTCAAAGCCTGCTGGAAGGTCAGCAGTGAGTCAGTTCCGACTTGATGGTGATGAGCAGTGAGAGACGTCCGTGAAGACCGTCCCCATCATGAGGATGGCACAGGACAGAGCACGGTCTGATCTGCTGTTCATGGTGTCACTTGACAACACCTAGCAGCAACGAGAGCAGTATGAAGGGGAAGATTTAATGTTCTTTTTTAATTTTTAAAACCATTGTCATTCCTTACAGCTAAGGTTTGCTCAGCGTGCTCTGCTCCCTGGCCCTCACATTGGATGGGGAAACAAGTAGACACATCACACACACACACACACACACAGACACACACACACACTCTCTCTCTCTCTCTCTCTCTCCCCCCTCCTCCTCCCCCAAATTCACATTCATATCTCCAACTTCAGTGTAACATCACGAGGTTTATTCTTCTTTTCTCCAATTTCATGCCTGTTATTCCCTATTTGGACAGCTTTTCTCAGGACTTTATTTGCAGAAAGGAAAGGAGTAAATGGGGTCATAGGAACTAAGGATTGTGGATTTAAGGCAGTTGATTTTATGGAATACTTATATTGGCTCACAGCTTTATTACAATGTAATTCACGGTTCATACATTCTCCCATTTGAGGCATACACTCTATTTTCCGTGTTCCTGCAGTGTGTGCCCATGGTCACCACTCAGTGGTGATGTTAAAGGAATGACCTTGATTGCTATTATCAAGTTAACATCCCTGTCTATTCTTAGCTTAGAGATTCTTCATTGTTAAGATTTGTAAAAAAGTTTTCTCTATCTTTCAAGATGATGATGCGGGTTTTCTCCTTTATTCTTTAAGGATTATCTTACCTTGCATTTCTGAGATAAGCTCTACCTGGCCAGGATGTATCATTGTTTATATATTCCTGGAATCGGTTGTTGTTGTTGTTCAGTGCCCTGTGACTCATAGCGACCTTATGAACAACAGATCTGAACCCTGTCCTGTTCTGTGCCATCCTCAGCCCACTGATTACCAATCTGAGCTCCACCTTTAATATTATGCATGTTCCCTTTCCTCAGATCCTAGGGTTTTCTGAGGCCCGCTGTTTCAGGAGTGGAAGCCCAGTCCTGCGTCCTCGGCTGTCTTTATCTGGGGGAGCTTGTAGTTTGTTTTCAGTCTGTGTTTAGGAAGTCAATTAGCCTTAGTTTCTTTTTAGAACATTTGTCTGGTTTTGCTATCTGGGTAATGTTAGTTGAAAGAAGGAAACTGGAGAATTTTCCCTTGTTCTCTGTTTTTGTGTTTTGTTTTTTTTTGTTTTGGGTTTTGTTGGTTTTTTTTGCACAAAGATGTGTAGCGTTGGAATGACTCCTTCCTTGAACGTTTCCTGGAGCTCACCTGTGATACATGTGAGCCTGGAGCTTTTACCTGGCAAAGGCTTTAAACTGCATATTCAGTTTATTTACAATATATTGAGATGTATAGATTTTCCATTTATTCTTCTGCTGTCAAATTTTGTAATCTGTTTCCTTCAGAGACATTTTCCTGGTCATTTGTCAGAGGCCAGTAGTTTTTGAACACTTTGAGTTATGAGTGGTTTTGATTTTGTTAAGAGTTGGAAGCAAAAACTAGCAAAAAAAGCTAACAATGTCAAATTCGCAACTTGGACCATATGTGAGCTACAGAATCCTTTGTGAAAAGATTTGCCAAATCCTTGTCTAGATGTTAAATTCACTGTCATAAAATTGTCATCAAATAGGTTATTTCCTTATTATTATTTTAATATCTATAAATTTTTAGAGTTATCTCTTCTGTCCTTTTTTATAGTGTATTTTTCTATGTCCTCCTTGATACTACTGATTGTCTTCTCTTTTTTTATTATTCTAGCTAGAGGTTTATTAATTTTATTTACCTTTTTTAAAAAAAAACACCAGCTTTCCCAGAGGTGCATGGTTTGAATCCACCAGATTCTCTGCTGGAGAAAGAGTGAAAATTTCCTCATGTAACAGTCAGAGCTGATTTGATGACACACACACAAAAATAGTAAAATTAAAAAAACATTTGTTGTTGTTGTTGTTGTTATGTGCCGTCGAGTTGTTTCCGACTCATAGCGACCCTATGCACAACAGCCCTAAACCCTGCTCTATCCTGCGCCAACCACACCGCCTCTGACACACCCATCCCGATCACCCCAGTCACCGAATCAATCCATCTCATAGAGGGTCTTCCTCTCCTGCGCTGTCCCTCCACCCTCCCAAGCATGATGTCCCTCTCCAAGGACCCGTCCCTCCTGGCAACATGTCCAAAGTATGTCAGACGAAGCCCCAGAATCCTTGCCTCCAAGGAGTAGCTTGGTTTAATCCTCTCCAAGATGAATCTGTTTGTTTTCCTGGCAGTCCATGGTACATTCAGTACCCTTCTCCAGCACCACAGCTCAAAAGCATCCACTCTCCTTCTGTCCTCCCTAGTCATTGTCCAACTCTCTGATGCATAACAAGCAATTGCAAATACCATGGCCTGTATCAGGCGCACCTTAGTCTCCAGAGAGACGCTGTTGCTCCTGAGTACCTTAGAGAGGTCCCTAACAGCAGACTTTCCTTACAAAAAAAAAAAAAAAACCAGCTTTGGTTTCATTGGCTTTTTTCTTATTGCATGTCTGTTTACTGTTTTATTGATTTAGACTCTTGTTATTTTCTGCTTACTTTGGGTTTTATTTTTTCCGTTTCTTACAGTGAATGCTTAAATCACTGATTTTAAGTTTTTCTTTTTTAATACAGACATTGGAAACTGTTAAGTTTCCAAATTGAGATACATTGTATTTTCATTTTTGCTCAGTTAAAAATAATTTTGAAATATCCTTTATGATCTCTTTGCTTGAGAATATTTCCAATTATATTGCTTGGTTTGCAGATGTATTTGGGAATTTTCCAGAAATGTCTTTTTGATTGTTTTCATTTCCCTCTGCCCAGTGAAGATACTCTATGTGAATCAGTTCCTCTAAGAGTGTGTAGACCTCGTTCTGTGACTATAAATATAATCTGTGCTAGTCTGTGGTTCTATTCACTTGTGAAGAGTGATATTTTGTTAGCTAAAATGGTCTGTTAAAGTGAAATATGTCCTGTTGGTTTCTAGTATTGAAACATCTCAGCTGCCTTCCACATACTTCGTGTATAAGCCGCAGTGGTATAGTGTGTTATATGTTGAACTGCTAACCACAGAGATGACTGTTCAAATACACCAGCTGCTCCTTGGGAGAAAATGAGTACAGCTCATCACCACGAGTCAGTTACTGTTACGTCTTTACATCTACTGAAGAAATGAAGGAATTGACTCAGAGTGTGTTTCCAGGGAACATTACTGAGTCTCTGTATGGATGTGAGAGGGGATGCGTTAGAAAATGTGAGTGAACGTCTTGGAAAATTTTCTTGGCCCATTTTAACTATGAATAATAATTAAATCTTTCTCTTGATTATATATATTCAAAAGATACCCAAGATGCATCTTTTTTTAGGAAATTAACACCAGAACCATAGATAAATGTCAGGATTTCATTACGATAGACTTTTTTTCCCTAATAAATTAGAATAAACTGTAAAATGTACACCAGTAGGAGTACAGAGGGGCTTTGCAGACACTGGTCACAATCTGTTTCTCGCTGTGGATTTGGGATATGTGGGTCTTTAACCGGCACCCGATAGGTGACGGATCTTCTCTGTTGTCCCGACGATTGCTGTGAGTCTCAGCAGCAGGTAGCAACTACAATGATTGCATTTATTCTTTGTCTTTATATATCTCTATCTCTATCTCTATCTCTATCTCTATCTGTTGCACTGGTATCAAATACTTAAAAATTAAAAAAAACATACAGCCTGCAATAACCTGGGTCATGAAATAACTGTCGTTTGGTACCAAGTAGATAAATTCGGGGGCAAATTGCCTCCAAATTTTAGAATAAACCCACTTCAGTTGAGTTGATCTTGGCTCGTTTCGACCCCATAGGACAGAGTAGCTCTGCCCCTTAGGATTTCTGGTTTGTAAGTGTTACGGGAACAGACTGCAGCATCTGTATCGCATGGGATATCTGATGAATTTGAACCTTTTGATCAAGCCTTTAACACTTAACCCACTAAGTCACCAGGGTTTCTTAATTTTGTAACAGTGGGTATTAAGACATCAGTACCATGAGGAGCTATGTCACTAAATCAGTGGTATGTTAAGGTCATTTGTAATTTTTTAGTCTGCAGAGATATAAATACTCTAGTATTTATATCAGTGATGCCGTCGCTTTAACAGTGAGGTCACTATATACATCAGTCCACATTTGTCACTGGCTTCTGTACTCATCCGCGTCTTAGATTTAAGAGTTTGACTCCTGGCTTCATCGTTTTCATCAGGATTTTAGGAAAGTCACATTAACCTCTGGGAGTTTCTGTTTGGACTTCACAACTGCTTGACTGGGTGGCTCCTGAGCCGTAAGTGGATTGGAGATTCACTGATTTTAACATTTTGAGCATCACTCCCATCTCTATTCATGTTGTAAATTTAACAGGATTGCTAGTTATAAGGTCTATCCCTCCCCCAACCCCCAGAGTGGTGCTTACACGAACATTTTTACATTTCTAGGTGAATCCCCGGGCACTGCTGTTTGGTCACACGGCTTCAATCACCTGTTTGTCTAAAGCATGTACCTCCAGTGACAAGCAGTACATCGTGAGCGCATCTGAAAGTGGGTAAGTCGTGTCTCACTCTCTTTTCTGTTTTCCTCCCTCGGAAGAAGTCTGTTGCAAGCAGCATCAGTGCTTCTTACTTCCTCTTTTGGAGGATCATAAACCTTTTCAGTTGTCTTACTTAAGGTTTACCAATATTAAACATTAAAGCTAGGAAGTTATCTCTATGAATGATTATTGTAGAGAGCTCTGGTGACCTAGTGGTAAGGAGCTGCACTGCCAGCCCAGAGGCACACAGTTCGAATCCCCCAGCTGCTGTGTAGGAGAAAGATGGGCAGCCTTCTCCCATGTGACTTACTGCCTCAGAAAACCTGCTGGAGGGTCAGCTATGAGTTAGTTCTGATTTGACAGCACATAACGACAAGAACAACAGTGATTATTATCATTTATGAAGCTGTCATTGCCTTGTTTTTGAGAAGTTCAAAGTATTGTAAAAATCAAACATGATCATGAACTTCCTCCCTCACCCCAAGGCTGTCTTGGAGTAGGTGGACCAAGGTCAGATGAGTAAAACACCTGGGTGAAGGTACACTACAGCAGTTTGAAGATGAAGACGAGTGAGAGTTCCTGTAGTTACATTGTGTGTGTGTCAGTATGCTTACATAACTGTGTGTTCCGAAGGCTTAGAATGTGGTTGGCTTTGCTCAGTCATAGCTGTAGGTCCCAGGGTCCCTGGTGGTAGGATGCTCAAGTGATTCACTGCTAACTGAAAGGTCAGTGGTTCAACCCTACTTTGACCTGTGTGAGGAAAGACCTGGCCATCTACTTCTGTAAAGGCTGCAGCCTTGGAGATGCGGTGGGGCCTCTGTGACCTTGCTTTTATCAGGTGCTTGTGAGTCAGAATCAAGTCAATGGCACACAACCATAGTTGTAAGGCCTGTCCTGTTTGTGCTTTGATGATGACATGTGTAGACAATATATGATTGAAGATAATTAGGCAACTTGATAAAAGAACTCTATTAGAAGTCTTCCTGTCTCTAGCATTTGAAGCAAACTTTTTTGAACAAAAAAAGAGAGAACAAATTATGTCAGTTAACACATATTATCTTCTTATCAACTAAGGAATCATTTACACAAGATGTGTATAAATTAATTTATGTCTGTGCTTGCGTACATGTAAGAAATGCGTATGAAAAATGCTTGCGTCCATGTAAGATAGGCAAACCAATGTTTTCAAGAAAAACTAATATGAAAATTATGGCATTTTATGGATTTTGTTGTCTGTTCTTAAGTGTCTGTTTTCAAAAGACAAAGCGTTATAATGATTATATGAAACACCATGTGAATGAAGAATAGTGTGAAACACAATGTAAACCGAACTTTGTAAGCAAACAACAATAAAAGACAAGGCTTACTGACACTTAAGATTGCTAATGTAGTATCCTCAAGAAAAGCTACAAGTTTTTGTTTGCTTTTTATTTACACTCAGTAAGATGCCTGCAGTAAGGAGAGAATTCAAGCTGAGAATTGAGTCTGCAAATGTTTGGGGTCCAGTTAATGTAAATTTTGAGATTTTTTTCCCCAGTGCTTATTTTTCTAAGCTTATTTTTCTTATTTTGCTAAGAACTTAAATATAAATTAAATGTACTGTTAGTAATGTAAGGCAATAAATCCTAGCACAGGCCCAGAGAGACTGGATGAAGGCAAAGAGGGGTTAGAATGGTACCTAAGAGGACTGGCATTTTTGACAAGCAGCAGTACTGGGTGCTTGTTGTTGTTAGGTGCCATCGAGTCTCTTGTGACTCGTAGTGACCCTATGTACAAAAGCCCTAAACCTTGCTCTATCCTGTGCCAATCTCACTGTCTCCAACACACCTACTCTCCCTACCCCAATCACTGAATTGATCCATCTCATCAAGGGTCTTCCTCTCCTGTGCTATCCCTCCACTCTCCCAAACATGATGTCCCTCTTCCAAGGACTGGTCCCTACTTGCAACATACCCAGAATATGTCAGATGAAGCTTCAGAATCCTTGACTCCAAGGAGCAGCCTGGCTTCACCCTCACCAGAACAAACCTGTTGGTTCTCCTAGCAGTCGATGGTATAGTCAGCACTCTTCTCCAGCACCACAGCTAAAAGGCATCAGTTCTCTTTCTGTCATCCCTAGTCACTGTCTAGCTCTCTGATGCATAGCACACAATTGTGAAGACCCACATTAGGTGCACTTTAGTCTCCGGTCTGACATCGTTGCTCTGGAGAGGTCCCTGACAGCTGAATTTCCCAATGCAGTTCGTCTCTTGATTTCCTGCCTGCAGGTGCCAGTACTAAGTTCACAAAGCTTTTTGTGAAATGCGTTAGTTCTACTAGGGGATTCATGTGACGCCACTGAGATGGAGCTGAATGGGGATTTATAGGGAACTATTGCTTATTTTGTTTTGTAGAGAAATGTGCCTCTGGGATGTGAGTGATGGCAGATGCATTGAATTCACGAAGTTGGCGTGCACGCATACTGGCATGCAGGTAAGTGTCTGCCGTCATGAATGCTCAAGACAGCACAATTTATTACAGAAATGAAATCTTAAACAATATAACATTGAGCCTCAACTTTTTAATGAAAAAAATCACTGTGGGAGGATAGTAAAGCCTGCAGTTGGAACCGTGAAAATATTCTTCATGAGGTGGGACAAGGGGAGACTTTGCTAAGAACCTTCATTATTCTAGTCATGACTGACACCACGTAGCCTCTTTTGGGGTTTGTGTCCTTTACATTATTACTTGCTCTGAAAGCCCTTGGTTACTTTTGGGGGGTGAGTGTGGAAGATGTTCCCACTCTTCAGAAGAGATAACTGTTTCATATTATATGTTGGGTGTTACACAGAAATTCATTGTTTCTTGGTTATAGTCCTTGTATTTTTTCATTCCTCTTTTGTAATTGCCAAAGTCTCTCAACTTTACCTTATTCTTTATTATATAATGAGGAAATGACAACATAGGAAAAAATACTATTTGTGTTCTTAATGGGATCGAGGATCGGTCAAAGATCTCATGTTTGTATTTATTGAGACATAACATATAGGCACTTCTTTCTCATTTTCTTTCACTACTGTGAAAGGATAGACACATTGTTTAAATGTATACACACACACACACACACACACACACACACACGTATTGTTTAAGCATTCTCTCCTCATTTCTGAGTTATCCCCGGAGTTCCTGTCTAGACTTTGAGTTATCAGCTTGATAGTGCTCAAGGCTGTTGCTGTTGTTAGGTGCTGTTTAACTCATAGACCCTGTGCACAATGGATCTGAACCTTGTTCTATCTTTACCTTCCTCCCAATCTGTAATATGTCGGTCAATCTCACTGAGAGTCTTCCTCTCCTTTGCTGACTCTCTACCTTTCCGAGGATGATGCTTCTCTCCAAGGTCTAGTTCTCCCAGAAAATATTCCAAAAGCAAGATGAGTCTCCCTATTTTCGCGTTTAAGGGGCTCTCTGGTTGCACTCCTTCAAATCAGACTTCTCCAGCAGGGTAAAAAGGGAAGCCACAGACTGGGAGAAAATATTTGATAATGACATGTCTGAAAAGGGACTGATATATAGAATTTCTAGAACTCTTGAGCGCCACAGCAAGAGAAAGATAAGCAGCATAATTGCAAAATGGGCACAGGATATGAACAGACACTTCACCAAAAAAGACATTCAGATGGCAAACAAACAATTGAAGAAATGTTCAAAATCCCCAGCTCTAAGAGAGATATAAATCAAAACACCTATGAGATATCATCTCATCCCAGTAAGAAGAGCAAAATTTAACAGAGCAGCAAACAACAAATGCTGGTGAGGTTATGGAGAAACTGGAACCCTTATTTATTGTTGGTGGGAGTGTAAAATGATGCAGCCACTATGGAAGGCAGTATGATGCTTTCTCAAAAAGTTTCAAATAGAAATACCATTTGACCCAGCAATTCCACTACTGGGAATATACTCTAAAAAAACCATAACTGCTCCCCAAGCAGATATATGCACACCCATGTTTATCATGGCTTTGTTCACAATAGCAAGGAGTTGGAAACAACCTAAGTGCCCATCAACAAATGAATGGTTAGAGAAGCTGTGGTATATTCACAGAATGGAATATTATGCAGCACTGAAAACCAAAGAACTCATGAAATATGATACAAAATGGGTGACCATGGAGGACATTATGCTGAGTGAACTATCTCAGTCACAAAAAGGCAAATACTGCATAATGCCACTATCATAGAACAGGACTGATATGGAGTTTGGGGTGAAACTAAGAAAAGAGGGCATAAATAATGTACACAGCATTCAAACAGATGAGGGCGAGAACTGTATAAAAGGAATATATGATATTATTGGCATGACAAGAGTCTAGAATAAGAGTTTCATAGTAAAGTGGTCTGGGGGGGGGGAACTGTGTAACACAATGAAAGAATTTTTTCCCCAAATTATAAAGTGAACTGTAGTAGGGGGAAAGGGGTCAGGGAGGAAAATTATAACAACGAATGAATGGAAATCCAAGTTATTTGTAAACTTTCATTGAAATCTAAAAATAAAATTAAAAAAATAAACTTCACTCATCACTGAAAAATAAAAATCTATCTTCATTGTCATTAGGACATGAGTCGAATCCTTTGATTTAAAGGATATATATTGCTCATTGTTATGTGAACTGAAGCATTAAGGTTTAGGGTGAGAAAAGGGTTATTAAAATGATGTAGATACGTTGAGTTTGTGGACAGTTTACTCTCATTAAAATGTCTTGAGTTTGTTATCTTTAAATACTTTTTTGGTATTGTGTAATTTTATGATTTGAAAAATCTTGGTTTACATTTTAGGAACCAATGCTTTGGTACATTTAGCATGTATTTAGTGTTTACAGTTTATCAGACCCTGCGTTAGGTCATCTGTATTGTTTAGAATGATAGCCATCTCTCAGCAGAATATGCTTCCCGGCAGGGCAGGCGCCTTCGTCTTCTTACAATTCGTTGGGAGAATCTATTGCTAGGACAGTTACTGTTTTTTGGAGACTGTGATAAGGATGTTAATTTTGCTTTGATAATCATTCTTCCTCTCCTCTGTGGTTGGTACAGATTCATCTTATCCTTTTGAGTAGATCATAATATGTGAATCTTGCAGTTCATGATTGTATTGATGCTTCATTTCTTTTCCTTCCATATAAAGTATAAATACATGCTACCCGAGTGCTTTACGCAGCTGTATCATACTCTACTTTGCCACAAAAATTAGTCTATCCATACACACTTCTTGTAATGTATTTCCACATCAAGTATCCTTTACCCAATTTTATTTGGTCACCAACTAATAATGATAATCTTATACTCACCAATTCCATCCATCTAAAATTCTCCTGTGTGTGAGAGTGTGTGTGTGAGAAAAAGAGAATGAGAAAGTCATTACAGTACTCATTTGCCTTTTTTATGAAGCTGATTTTATTTATTCATTCTACAGACCCGTTCTAATTACTCAAAACCCATTGTCATTGAGTCAGAACCATCAGGTTGATCTTCCAGCAGGTCTTCCAGAGACTGTAAATTACACGAGAGGAGATTACTTGTCTCCTCAGAGTTGATTCGCACCGCCAGAGACACCCCCTTTGGGTTAACAGAGCAACTCCCTCTGGAGTTGGCCATCAAAGTTTTACATATTAGTCATCGTCGTTGTCATCGTTAGGTGCCACCAAGTTGCCCACGATGCATAGTGACTCAGAAGAAGGAATCTGAACCTTGCCCTGCCCTTCACTGTACTCGGGCTCTCTGTCATGTTCACATGCGTGTCAGTCCGTATCATTGAGGGTCTTTCTCTCTTTTGCTGACCCACTGCCTTTCCCAGCATGAGGGTTCTTTCCAAGGACAGGTTCCATATGAAAATATGTCCAAGGTCCATGAGACAAAGTGTCACCATGCTTACCTGTAAAGAGTACTCTGGTTGCCCTTCCTTCACGATGGATTTGTTTGGGGTTATTTTTTTTTCTGACAGTTTAATATTCTTTGCCAAAGCCACAATTCCAAGGCCTTGATTCTTCTGTCATCATTAGTCACTGTGCAACTTTCAGTTACATAGGAAGCAGTTGAAAAGCTTGTGGCTTGCTTGAGGTGCACCTTAGTCTTTAAACTGATTTGTTTGCTCTTTAGAACTATGGAGAGAGGTTCTTTATGGCAGATTTCCCCAATGTAGCATGTGTTTTGATTTCTGGACGTCTCCTGCCGTGACTGTTGACTGTGGATCCAAGTCCGATGAAATTGTTGGCAATTTCGATCTCTTTCCCAATATCGTGATGTCTCTTACGGGTCCAGAGGTGAGGGGTTTTTGTTTTCTTTTTGTTGAGATGTAGCCCATAGTAAAAGCTGACATCACTGAGCTTCTGCAGTAAGTGTGTCAAGTCTTCACTTTCTGCAAGCAAGGCTGTGTCATCTGCATAACACAGATGATACTAGAGGGTTAAAAAGAAATGCATGCGTTCGGTCTCAAAGGAGTTCCAAAGGGAAGAAAGGGTGTTACAAAAAGGATTTGTTAACTATTTTAAATTGTTACACAGTTATCTTGATATTGTTTGTGTGCATAAATACACATAAGTATAGCCTGTACAAATAGGGCATGTCTGGAAATATTCCTGAAAAAGTTGACTATTTAGGAGAATATTGTGGTCAGCTTGAGGGCTGCATGTCAATCAAGTATCTAAATGTAAGGAGAGCCTGTAAGATGCTGTTTTCTTTGCCCTGACTTTAGTTCTACCAGTTCTCCGTTGGAAACCAACGCGAAGGAAGGCTCCTATGCCACGGACATTACCCTGAAATCCTCGTCGTGGATGCCACCAGTCTCGAGGTGCTGTACTCCTTGGTATCAAAGATATCGCCGGACTGGATTAGCTCCATGAGCATTATACGATCTCACCGAACACAAGGTTAGTGGGTGATGCTTTCTTAGAAACTTCAGCGCTGTGACTTACTGGCCAGTTAATTAATGTCCAGTGTTATAGTCAGGTGCCTTCAACTGTGACCCAGAGTGATCTGATGAACAGCAGATCTGAACCTTGCACTATCTTAAATCATTACCATCTGTCATGTTCAAGCCCCTTGTGGGTGTTACTGTGCCAGTCCATTTCACTGAGGGGCTTCTTTACCCTCTCTGTCTTTGCCAACATGATGTTTCTTGATGGTGTTATAGCTTACTGTAAGTGTCAGACCTGTGAAAGTCCTCTGGTGGTGCTTTCCCTTGCTGTCCAGTCACAGCCAGCCCAGAGCCCACCCTTGCAGTAATTTTTGGAGACTGTAAATCATAAGCGAGGAGAATGCCTACACTGTTCCTTTGTAGCAGCTGGTGAACTTGAACAATATTCCTTTGAGTTGGTAGCACAGCTGATTTATCTACCAGGCCACCAGAACTCCCTGTGAACCACCTTATGGTTTAGCATAGATTAATGTTAATTGATTATATTGCTCTGTTGTTGTTGTTATGTGCCGTCGAGTCGTTTGCGACTCATAGCGACCCTATGTACAACTGCCCTAAGCCATGCTCTATCCTGTGCCAATCTCACTGCCTCTAACACACCCATCCCGATTACCCCAGTCACTGACTCTATCCACCTGAAAACCCTATATTGCTCTATGTAAAAAAAAAAAGTTATTTTAGTAATTTGTGGCCTTCCTCCATGAAGCAATCCTTGTTTGCATTAAGACAATGACTGGCTTTTGGAGTGTTGGGGTCATTTTTCTGGAGGTATCATGGAACTGTAGCTGCTTCTGTGTCTCTCGTCTCTCCAGAGTCTGGTTTTGTAACTCAATTCGTAGCATAGGAAGTGTTCCCATTTCATATACAGATAATTAAAATGGAGGAAACGACACACAGTTAAATGGAATCAAAGTTACTCGTCAGTGCTTAGTTAGCATTAGTATCCTTTCTTCACTCGCAAGGAAAACCTTTTCAATAATAAACGTGAGAGTGGAAGTGAAATTGTTGAGAAGAATAGTTATGACTGTAACAATGGGCTTACGCCGCTCCAAGATCACGAGGACGGTGCTCCGCGGGGCATGGGTCTGATGCGTTCGTTGTTCCTAGGGTCCATTTCACTGTAGTCTGTTCAGCAGCTCCTAACAATTAACAACAACCATGTAGAGCATCTAGTGTATGTTCCTCTAAACCCTTCTAGGAGCATTCCCCCTGCCCAAATGGTTCATGGATAAATAATCTCCTGTAAAGTCTGGTGTGTCAAACCTCTACCAGGAGATTAGTTACCAAGAGCTTCTAATGTCAAGCACCTTGCTAGCTTACAAGCAATAACGTGTGTTGTTCTCACGGTGCTCGGTGGGTGTCCACTGTTGGCAGGCATAACCTAGCCGAGTAGGTAGGTAGAGGTTAAGGATGGTGGAGTCTTTGCCTCCATTCCCAGAGCGTGTAAGTGGCTGGTGAGCGGCCACCTGGACTCCAGGGCAATTGTGTTACCCACTGTGTAGCCCAATCTCTGCTCATGGAAACGGTTTTCATTTTTATGGGAGTTTCCCTTTATATCATTTTAAGGTCAGAAATGAGTACATAGCTTTTTTATTGGGCCAGTTTTGCTTGTGTGCCAGTTGTCATCTGAGCATCAAAAGGGTACTATTTTAGGGCCTCAAATTCTAGTAAAGGGGAATGATAAGCGAACAAGGTGGAGGAATAGTCCAGAGAAATTAGTGAGACAGAGGAGGTGACGGAGGGCCTGGGAGAGGCTATCTAGACACGATGAAATCTGTTCTAGGTTTTGGAGGATGATGAGAAATTCATCTGGCAGACATGCAGATTAGGAAGTTTCTGGCAGAGAACACAATCTTTGCAAAGGTGTGAAAGCATTTGAAATGTAGTCGTGTGTGCGGAACTCTGAAGTGCTGTTTTTCTGGGGTAGGAAGTACGAAAGGAGGACTGGGGGAATGTGAGCCTGGCAGTGTTGGCAGGGGCAAGATCACGAAGGAGCTCGTGCACCATCTGGGAGCCAGGATTTCACCGTGAAGGTTAGGGGCTGGCGGACTTGGCTGTGAAGAGCCCCATCCTAAATATTTCGGACTCTGCAGACCGTACAGTGTGTGTTTCAGCCCCACAGCCCTTCTGGTGGAGTCCGGAAGCAGTCACAGACAGCAAGCGAACACGCCTAACTACATTCTAGTAGGTGGCCCTAGTGTTGCACATGGTGAGTGCCCTGTATTGTGAAAAAGGCAGCTCTGGTGGTCTGGTGGTAAAAAGCTGCACTGCAATCCCAAAGCCACGCGGTTCGAATCTACCAGATGTTCCCTGGGAGAAGAAAGGGCAATCCCCTACAATGTGTTATACTGCCTATGAAAACCCTCTGGAGAGTCAGCTCTGGGTCAGTTTCGACTCGATAGCAAATAACAGCTGTGAGCCAAAAGGTTAGATGTTTGAGTCCACCGTCAAGTGCTTCAGAAGATAAGCCTGACAATTTACGTCTAGAAAACCAGCCACTGAAAATCCTGCAGAGCATGTCTCTACCGTGACACACGTTTCACCGTGAGTTGGAGGAGCTGATTTGATGGCAACTGCTGTTCTAATTAACCTCCCCTTATAAGAACAGCCAATGAGTTGAATTTGACCCGGCCTGTTCAGAGCCTGCCAGCTGCTGCTGTTGTGGGTGATAGATGGTCTCTGGATAAGAATGGATGAGAGACTAAATATCACTTGGAAGACATTGAGAATGGTTTAGATGAGAGGAGACTAGTGAGGATATCCGTGCAGGAGCCCAGCCGAGAACGGTACAGGTCTTAGCAAGAGCAGTGACTTTGGAAATGGATCTAATGGACTTAGAAAATTTCTCAGGGGAGTTGCTAGGGGTTTTTGTCTGAGGTTTGTTAACAGGTGGGAGTGAAAAAGGAGAGTTCTGTAGACAGGTCTGTTTGGAAAAATAGAATTGAACAGGTTTCTTCAAAACTAGTTGTTTCAGGCGTAGTAGAGGATTACTGCCTTATACAAGCATGAAAAGTGCAAGTGAAATTAATTTTCCAAACAATAGGGAACTCATTATTAGCATGTTCACCTCTAGTCCTAGTTAAAGGCAATGCTTTCTTTAAAAGCTTACTGTGTTTGTGACCAAGCAGTTTTCACGGTTTGAAGATTACACTTTGTCTGAACAGAACAGAATGTGATTTTAATAGAAAATTTTGTATGGTCAATGTAATTTTAAATGTTATTGGGATGCAGTGTTGCATACTTACACATGTTTCTGCACTTACTAAACCCTTCACTTCCTGTATATTTGTCTGTGGATCTGTTAGAATTTTAACTATTATTGGTATGTTGCATTTTTATTGTTGTTGACAATAAGTGAACAATTACAGTGAGTAATTGCTATAGCTTCTCTGTACAAAAATCATGACGAATGTCATAAACAGTATATAGCCAATGTTTTATGTTGTGCCTGTGAAATTATGCAAGCTTTGAGTATCTAATAGAAAGATAACATAGTTCTTTCAATACCCAATCTTGATTGAAGATTTCGTTGGCGTCAAGTGTATCTGTGGTGTCTTAATTCTCATAACAGTCTCATTAAGGTAGGTTTGTCTAAAAAAATTTTTTTATTGATTTGCTTACAAAGTGCACGTCCATTATGTTTCACACTATTCTTCATTCACGTTGTGTTTCGTAGACTCATTCTCATACATTATGTTTTATAAAATTAATTACCATTGGACCTGACTCATCATCACCCTGTATTTTCACCCGATCCTTCCCGCCTCCCTCCACCCGCGAGATTGTGCAACCCTGTGCTTTCACCCCGACCCATCCTTACCCTCCCCCTTCACCCCCTTTCCCCTTGAATTCCCAGACATCATTAAGGGAGGCTTACTTTTTTTTTTTTTATTAAGGTTTACTTTTGCTAACAGAAGACTGAGCTTGAGATGAGCTAGTGAAGTTTGCTTATGTCAGATTGGTGGAGAAGATACACAATTTTTAACACATTTCTTCCTCACTTTGAAGCATTTGTCAGACAGCTTTCAAATGCCTTTGCTTCCAGTGTTCATGGCCCCTCACTGGAACTTAAGAGTTGAGATTTTATATCATGTATTTCTTTTAATCACAGTATGCAGAGGATGGAATGTACAGTCAAATGTGTAGAAGGCAGAGGGGGCCGGTGGGAGGCAGGTAAGGGAAGTGCAAACCTTGAAGAAACACAGTGACTGGGATCGTTCATGATAAACACAGGTGACCATTTTGATGAACAGACTTTCTTTGTTTACCTAATAATCAAGGGCATTCATTGTTGATTCAAAATAATGAAAACATTGAAGAAACAGAAACAATTTATCCATGAATGGTACATTTTGTGAGCTCTATGAAACTTTTGAAATCTGAATTCTATTGTGCCATCAAATGCAGAATTCTGCTTTTATGCTACTTGTAAAACATGCTGTCCTTTGCGTTCCTGAAGCAGGCCTTCTCAGCAGTAGGAAGGAGGCTTGTTGTGTTTGTGACCTTGCCTGTTTGTCCCTTTTTTGGTTTAGAGGACACTGTGGTGGCGCTCTCTGTGACGGGCATCTTGAAGGTGTGGATTGTTACCTCTGAAATAAGTGATTTGCAGGTAAGACAAAAGCAGGGTTTATCTGCTTTTCTTAGTAAACAGTAAATGTATGTCTTTGCCTTTTTTTTGTTTGTTGTTGTTCTTATGAGGGAAGAAGAAAGTTATTCTTTTGATAGTGTTGCTGCTGTGGTGTAGAAGATACTTGACCTTTTTTTTGCTTCTGATACTCTGCTCCGCGAGGGCTCCTGAACAGAGAGACACATTGCATGGAGTGTGAAGGAGACAGCATCAAGGAGGTGCAGTTACCTTCAGTGGTTTCTGTTTGTGTTAACAAATATTTTGCTTGAGGGGGGAAAAAATAAAAGCAAAACAAATTGCCACAGAAGAGTATATCACAAGCCATATCTTAGCCCCCTCCTTAGTTCTGTGGGCTTGAAAATTCTGACAGTGTTGGTGCTCATGTCTTCAGCTGGGAGAAACTAGGTGAATCGATTGTTTCTATTTATTTTCATTTTCACTGGTTTGCTTACAAAGTTCTTATACATTGTGTTTCACGCTATTCTTCCTTCACATTACATTTGAAATGTAGTATTAGTACAAGCTTTTATCATCTGTCATCAGTGGTTTTTATCTTGCATAGCTTCATAGCAAACACCTGTGGCCAGCTGTCTATAGAGTGTATTTTTGTTGCCTTTTACCTGGAACTCTTATTTGAGAATCTGACATTTCAAGCATACCAAGGGAGGCCTTTATTTAATTTCCTTTCTTCTTCCTTGTGTTGGTAATTTTAACCGACAACCTGAATGTTCGTAAAGTTTTGCAAATCTTTTCTCTTTCCAGGATACTGAGCCGATCTTTGAGGAGGAATCGAAACCGATCTTTTGTCAGAATTGCCAGAGCATCTCTTTCTGTGCGTTCACTCAGAGGTCGCTTTTGGTTGTGTGCTCGAAGTACTGGAGGGTAAGAAGAGGCTGTATTTCTACTCGAAAGTGTGCTGCTTCACCAGACGTCCAGAGATAGTCTTCCAGAAAAGCACAGGGCAGGAATACTGTAACCATTGAGAAGTCATGTCTGATTTTGATAGCCATTCAAAATGGTGTTTGACCCATGGACCACTTAAGAGACTTGAAAGAACAAAAAATATAATACGGGCCTGAAGGACATAATTCTACAGATCATAAACAGTGTAAAATAATATGTTGACAAGTTCTAATGCATTTACAAGCCCCAT